AATAAGGACAGTGTTCCCTACAAAAAAGGACAGGGTACCACTAAATCCATTGATAATTTAAATGTTCTTAAACCAAAAAAACAAAAGTTATTTCTAATAATGTGTAATGACTGATCAAGACCTTTTACAGCTTTTTGATGATTTCATTGAGCATCTGTTTTMAAATATTGAAAGCAACAGAAAGATGAAATCAATGTATGTTCTTTAGAAGAGGAAAAAACTAATTCTGTACACAGTGAATGGATTGTATTTACACATTTATTTAGCACCTCTTTAAACAGTATTGATAATTCTTGTTAGATATATACAGTACATGAGWCAAGCAGACATTGAACAGCAAACAAAATGTATAGAGTTAAAACGATTTCAAAAACAACAACAAGAAAATTTGATTTTTGATAATTTAGAGACATTTAGAACAGTATAATGTTAGCAAAACATCCTTTGTCATTATTTTTCAAATGCATCAATTGCACAGAATGCAAGCACCGAACAAATCACACAAAAGTCTGTTAGGAAATTTGTTTGCAGAATGACACATTGTAAAAACCTAATTTGATAATGATGTCTTACACTTTGGTCCCAATTGATTCCGTTACAAAGTTTTGTAGTTGCCTTCCCCACACATTAATTACATGAAAGGTCTTTTATTGTAATTACAAAAGCTATAAAACACCATGCATTTCACACATTGTGGCTTAGAGGATTTTAAGACATAAAATAACTAGATTGTTTGRATAAGTCTCTACTTCTCCAAAGCCTTTTTATTCACCAGCACTCAACCAGGAGCACTGGAGACGCAGTCAGTCTCAATGGGGAGCTCCAAGTCTTTTCCCTTTTGCCTTCACTCCTTTGGCTTCTGTTGACGCCTAACCAGCCTTACTTTTCTCCTCACTTGAACTATAAAATAAAAATCAGTTTTAGATTGTGGGACAGTGAAAAATTATACTGACAAACAGGGATAACAAGGATAAATATGAAATGAAATAGAGCAGAAGAAGGTGAAGCTGAATTTACAAACAATTCGTGATTTGACTTTTATTTAAACTCTTACTTGGACCTCTCCTGGCAGCCGAAAACCCACCTCTTCCTGCTAAAAGAATGTAAAACATTTAGTTACACAAGTACATAACCAAATGTGTAATTTTCAAGTTTTGCATTTTTACCTTGAATGAGTTTGGTAATTCTCTCTGATTCTTCATTGACCAGAGTTGGGTTATCACGGAAGTTGGTGAACTTTGAGAGATCTGGGCCTAAACAAAAAATAATGTTTAGATCCAAAATACAGAATGTCCACACACATCATTTTGCCCCAAAGGTAGATCTGTGCAATAAATCAAGATTTACAACTAAAATACTTTCAAAGACAATTGTAGATACAGATATTTTACCTGAAATGATCTGGGGTTCTTTCCCTGTGGTGTGTGTGGCTCCACCTTCAGTTGGACAAAAGAGAAGAATGTTGAAAGGCAGTTATACTAACTTACACTTGGAAAGACAGACAAGTGCATACAACCCACACCAGACCTCCAACATGACTGTCAATACAAAAAGAAAACACAAAAGCACAACTGCACAGAAACAAGTCAGCTATAAAACAATTGTTTTATGATACTTAACTAAAGAAATACAACATATGGTTTTGATTACATGATGTTCAATTATGCAGTGGAAACCCTAAAGACAATAGAAAAACGTAAAGTTTAATGCTGTTCCAAAAATAGTTTTTAAAGAAACTCACCTGTTTCTATCCTCTTTTTCTCTGCACCATCTGCGGCTGCACCTAAAAACATTTGATTAACAAATAAACCTTAGTTTTGCTAAACACAAAGACTGTCAATGAACGTATTGATTCACTTCTAAACTTAGAATATAAAAAGTCTGTGTTTGATTCATATTTTTTGTTGCAATCGTGCTTCATGATAAGAAATCTTATATTAAATGCATTTTTGGGTTGAACAGCAGAGTTTGTCAAACAACATAGTCTACTAATAACTCTTGCTTAGGGTTGTTTATAACCAGGTCAAACAAAACATATGGGCGATTTAACAATTTAATAATTTAACAAACACAGGCCTGAGTAGCATGTGGAAGAACCATACACAGTCACAACCGCCAAGAGTCTTCACCTCATGCTGGTCCCCAGCTTGGTCATACACTGCTGGATGATGACATCCCATTCTTCAACCAACATTTGATGGCAAGTCAGATAATTTGGTTGTGTTGGCCACTCTAGAACAAAAAGCATTCTTAAAGGCAAAGTGTGTAGGATTTGTTGTTTTCAGCGACATCTAGTAGTTGAGTGGTTGAATCATCCTCCCTGGTCCTCCCC